TTTGGATCATTGTGAAATTCAAACCAAAAATATTCTAGATCAGTGAAATAACGTAATATTTTTAAATATTTTTGCCACTTTACTATAGAAAAATAAGTAAAATAAAATATGGAGCAAAAATATATCAATCTAATAACTTTAACTCCAATATTTTGTATTGTTTACCTCAATGTAAATAGTGCGTTCATGGGCTGTCAAAACTTAAAGTTTACAAGTTTCGTAGTGAAAATGCATGAAATATGTCGAGATTAGGGAGCCGAGAATTGAACGACGAATATCCGACATTTGGAATTTTCGATGTTATGACGAAAAAATGGAAAAAAAATAATACATTTTTGGAAATTACTATCTTTTGAGAAACGTGAAATTAAGCACAATTAAATTCTGCATCGAATTGTGTATAAAGTGATATTTTTTCATGAAATCAAAAATGTTAAATATTAAATTGAAGTTGAAAATTCAAACAAATAGTCCGACATTTGGGCGAGTGTCCATATGTTCACTTTTTTTCGATTTTTCTTCTGTAACTGTATGCTTTGAAAATGAGACTGACACAAGGTCTGCCACAAAACAATTACAAAGCAACCATAAAAATTACCCGAGTTTTGTCGACAAAAACATTCGAAAAAATTATTCTTTATTCGCTATTCCTGTTTGTTATTCATTCATTTGCTATTGTCGCTTCATATTTGTTATTGTTTTACATCAAACGTCAAAACCAGACCGATATCAAAAATCGACCGATGTCAAAAAGCTTTTATTTGTGCGGCGAATTCACTACCATCTCCACTAGACAGTTTAAAGTTATTACGTTCAACCACGTTCAACATTTGCAAAGCGAAAGTTGGGTTAAGTTAGTAATATTATATTTATTTCAGCATAATTTTAATATTTCGGACAACAAAATGAAAAAAAAAGTTGATAATATTAAAATTCTAAATATTTTATACTTGAAGCGACTTGAAGTTAATTAGTTCAATTTTATTTAAGCCATTTCCAACAAGCTATCTAGAAGCCAACAATGCCGCATTTGTGATACATTTGTATATTTGCTCAACATTTGTTGAATTTGCGATACATTTGCTGCATTCATTGAAAGCACAGCATATTTATTCAAAAATGATGCATTTGTTTTCGTGATTTGCCCCTAGTTAGGTGTAAAAAAGAGAAATGTTATCTAAAGCGAGTGTGTTTGTATATATTGGTACTGCTTTGCAGCGGTATAGTGTATGCCGCTGAGTAATTGAATTATAATATTTATTTTATTACATAATTCGTCACGCTATTAATTTTTTATGTTTTTTGTTCACACTCACATTCTCTTTTTATATTTCTAAATAAATAAATATCAAACAACATGTAATACAATAATCAATATATAGCTTGCTTGACAGCAAATTCCGGTAGGGACAACTAATGATATTTGTGATTTTGACAGCTCGACCACGGTCTGGATCCGGTGGATTTCAGAATCAACAAACAACACAACGAACATTGCGTTCCAATTTGGATCAAGCGCGAAGCTCTTGACCGGAAGCCCTGGGTTTTGTGTGGGATACAAACGTCCTACATTAGCTACTATTGTAAGTAACGCTGTACTTGATACTAGAATTTTCCGTACTAATTTGCTATTTAGTTTCATATTACTACTATTGAGTTTATTTCTATTTACAGAGTAATAATAGAAAGTAACTGAAATAATGGAAAAATTGTCGAAAGAGTGATAGCCACTATTCTAAAGAATGAATTATTACCGTCGTAGATAACGTTGACAACAGCACCATGCACATCAAATGTCTTTGCAGCTAGATTTATTATTAATAACAAATTTATTAGTATTATTATTAGTAATAAATTTATTAATGTTGTTATTAATAATTATGTTAATTTCGATATTTAAAGGTTCTTTTCATGTGAATGATTCAGAATAAAAATCCGACTGTACGCAGAGTCTATAAAAGTGGAACACTGAGTTATTTTATATAGTTTTATTGTTGTAATACAACAAGAATTTGATGTGGAAAAAACTCTATTTTCTACTTTTTTACTCTGCGTACAAGTCGGATTTTTATTCTGACCCATTCATGTTTCAAAAAAATCAGACTGATTAATGTCCTAAAATACCTGCTGCATTTTCGACAGCTAATATTGTTCCGCTCAAATTATCAAAACTTTTTTCGATTTCCTGGACGTAGTTCGCTGGAAAATAATGCTGTCTTTTTCCACCGTAGTCTCCAGTCCACCATAGATCAAGTTCTTTTTTTCGAACATTTGTTATTATTGAATGTTTACAAAAAGACAATTCATCGTCATTTTGTGCTTTGTAATCGTACAAGGCTTTTACTGTTATCTGCAAATTGATCCAAATAAGACTTCAAAAATAAAAAATCTGTTCAATAAATATTTTTTTAATCGTTTAAAAATGAAATACCTTTTCTTGGGATGCTAATGGATCCATATAACTTGATACATTTTCATCGTTGTTATAGTTTTCATTTCCTTCAATATTCTGGAATTTAATAAAAAAATGGAGCTTCTTATATGCAAACGAATAATTTTATTCGGAGTCAATTAATAATTAATAATTTGGTTCATATTTATTGTTTTAAAAATTCAAATAACACTCTTTCATCATCGCCTACGAATGTTACAACATGGCATGGAAACATACGCCTCTGTGCATATTAGAGTGGCCGCGAAAACAACTTTTATGAAATTCAACTTGATTCGCATTGTGGATCTTTTCTATTTGTTGTGAATACTACGTGTGCAAAGTTTCACAATGATATCTCCACGTTAAGTCGAGCCCAATTCCTCTATCGGTCATTATGTGAATTTCTTGAAAAATAGCACTTTTGATTAATTTAAACACAACTTCAAACAACCACATCGACTCAATAAACTGAGGTCATAATTTTCGACCATAAACTAACGACTGGAGAAGTTTCAAGTGATTTGGATGAAAATTGCTAATATTTTCAAACTCCGAGCTATCCAATTGTAGATTTCCCTTCAAAGAGCTGTAGGCTGAAGCAAAATGCTTTGCAAAGAAACCAGCGATCGTAGACTGGTCTTCTGCCCTCATATCCAGATAAGACATTTCATGAGGCAGATCATCACTTTTCCCTTTTTTGTAATTCACATGTCTGAAAAATTTCTTTGGATCATTGTCTATCAGATTC